CGGGGGGGGGGGGCAAGAGAAATGTGGGGAACCCTATTTTACTTCAAGTGTACCTTTATTTCTCTTACTTAATGAAATTTAGGCAACTACTTATAGTCCCAGGGGTAACACTGGTTTATGAAAGCGAAGCAGTGACTTAATATGATATATAAAATGGGAAAGTAGATTGAATTTGGTTATCTCTACATATTCATGATTGGTTGTCTGTGATTTTAAGACAATCCAAAGACTCACATGGCCTCAGTCATCTCAAGTATTCCAGGGCTTTCTCAGTAGTTCAGTTTCAAACTAATTCTACTTCTTGGTATTTTAATTCACTGAGCACCTCTAATGGCCCAGGCTCTATGGTGGGCACAGATAATATAAGACATCTGACCTGACCCTTGGGCTGCCTTGTTTCCATCTCGGAGGTTTATTTCATTAGCATCATATACAGAGACACAATTCTCCTGGGAGGGCAGCCAAAAGCAGGGTGGCATAAGAGAAGCATAAAACCCAGCCAGCTCTTTAGTTTATCACTTGTTCTCACTTTTTATGTGCATTGGATTTATTTCATTCTAGCAGCTGGCTGCATAAGCCCAAGGAATCAATCAGATTTGTTAATGCAAAAAGGAAGGAAGATAGCATAACTGTAGATCAGAGAAGCAAGAGACTGAGTCTGGGGTAGAGCGCTCAAGTGGTGGGCCTGATGGGCCCGAGGCAGTGTGATGCAAACGAGAGGGAAAGAGCATGGGTTAGTTGATGTTGGGAGGGCAAGGGCAAAGAATTTCCCCATATTCATTCTTTTCCCTCAACAAAGACATCTTTACATTATGCTAATTTGGGAACGTGAACAAATGTATTCTGCTTCAACCAATAGACAATTACTTATTCTTGCAGGAGCATTTAAGTTTGCTATATCAAAATTCTTTTATGTCTGGTGGAAAATATAATTCCATGGCTTATACAATTGTATTTTGCTCTCCACTATGAATTATTTAGAGCATCCTCTCTTTTAACTGCATACCAAAATATCATTAGAGGTTATCTAATAGCTAGCTCATCATTTCATTCCCCCATTGAGGCTTCTGGGCCAATTTTCACCCTGTTATACTCTCCAGAATAATGAAACTAATTTGGGATCTTGCTGTGGAATTAAATGCTCATACGGATCCCACCCCCTCCGAGACCATAAACATCTGCCATAACATTTCTTATAGCCAAATAACCTTACTGTTACCAGTGCGGCTGAGAAACCCATCAGTGGAGTAAAAAAGGTTACGTACTAGCAGAAATGTGCTGGAAAGTACGTATTGCCAGTGGTTTGTAGTCTTAGAGATTTTGGCACCAATAACCATTCCATTATTATTAGATCCTCCATGATTTTTTTCTAATCTTCAGGATAAAACTGTAACTAAGCAACCATTTAGACGTTTAGGAATTTCATGTCAGTTTTGAGATGGTCATAGGCCTTAAGGAGTATTTACAACTGTTTTCATACCCATTACACCTTAGGTACATTGGGTCACTATGTACAAGCTGCTTCACTAAGTCCTTTGTATGCGTTATCTCAGTCATCACCGTGAGCCTGTGAGGTGATCGTTAGTATTATCCCCACTTTACAACTGAGAAAACTGAAGCTGAATAAACTGAAAACCAAGATTACGCATCTAATAAAAGGCACACTCAAGGCACAAACCCAGGCCGTCTGGCTCCAGAGCTCCTGCACGTGCCCATCACTGCCTCGGCATGACCCTCAGGGACTAGCTGAACATGGGAGAGCGCATTCTAGGAAAGGTGTTTATTCTGAGAGAAATGAGGTGGCTCCCAGATAACTGGGCACGTGGGAATTTATGCAAAGGGCACAAGGAGGCGAGCAGAAAAGCAAGCGGAGGCTATGAGCCCACAATCTCCAGTTCTTGCCCTCTCACCGAGCCGCCCGTCTCTTGTCCCCTTCTTTCCCCCAGTCCGCCACCCCCTTTGAGACTATCTTTCTTTCTAGACCCCTTGCTGCCTCTCCCCTCATGTTATACCAGAACCCTCCTCTTTCTAGCCCCCTTGCTATTGCGTGTTCCTCCTTTGCACCCTCTCTTTCTTGGCCTGTCTACCCAGACTAGGGAGCACTGCTGGCAAAATCACTGTTGTTCTTTTCTGCATTTTGACACTGCCACTTTGCCCAACCTTTGAGGAGCTTCCTATTCTGTCCTCTGCTTCGCCCCCTCCCCACTATTTGCTAACAGATGGCCTTGCCGCTGTAATTCGCTGAGAAAAACTAGAGAAAACCGAAAGCCTAGTCTTCCACAGCGTAGCCCCATCACCTCCCTTCCTCCAGCCTTCACCCTCTCTAGCCTGTTCTCCTCACTAGTGCTCAAGTGATTTTTTAACATGTAAAATGGGTGGCATCATTCCCATGCTATAAACCCTCAGTGAATCCCCATCGCTGGCACCAAGTCCAGGCTCCCTAGGAAAGCACTCCCTGGCACCCTGGCCTCCGCTTGCCTCTCCAGTTCACAAGGTGCAATGCATCGAGCGGACACACGTCAGCATGATTTTGAAACCTCTTTAAGGAGTTTTGTGCTATTCTGAAAATTAGTGAGAATAAATGGCTTTCGAAGAGGAGGCAATATATTAATAAGTCTAAAAATTGTCTAAGCATACTTAATTAGAAGGTGTTTTACTTGGCAAGACAAATAAGAGAGGTCAAATTTAGAAAATTTGGAATTGTCTTCTACATATTCCCTAAAAGATGCTATTGTTCCTATACTTTATATAAAGAGAAATAGTGCCACTTCAAGCAATTCCATTTCTAAAATGATCCCATTGTCACTCAATTCCATATAGACACATGCAACCTCCTATTATTATAAAATTTTTATTAACTCAGCTATCTACTGAAGATTTTATGTAACAAGTTCTTTCCTATTACCTCAAGATTTATTGTTGAATTTGGGCCAATTTTTAAAAAATGTTCATAGTCACTTCTCCAAAGATAGTTGTAGACCAGATATTCTGGCCAAATTGTTCTAATTTTGAAACCATCGTCATATATTTTACAGTTAAATTCTTCTTTACAAGCTCTCTGTAGGCCTTTAGGAGAATAAAAATTTAATTATAAATTATCGTTAATTGTTTAGTTTTTACAAATCACTTTCAAGAGTAAAAAGAAGTGCCTTTATGCCAAACATTTTTACATTAATGAAGCAAATGTAACAAAAGATTGACATTTATTGGATCCAGGTTGAGGAGGGAGAGATAAGTGGTGTTCATTGTACTATTCTTTATACATTTATTTTTGACAATTTTATAATGTAAGATTTTAAAAAAAATTAAATGATAATGGTATTGCCATAACTTTCCCAAGGGGTAAAGGTTGTTATATAGGGGCCTCTGAGTTACCTACTAACATAAATCCCAAGTAGATGACATGCATGAGTGCATTGTCCATTCTAACACAATACCAAAAAATCATTACCTTTGAATATTAAGTAAAAATAAAAAGTGTTGATGGTCTCCATAGTTAATGTTTCTTGTATATTCTGAAATAAATATTTTTACTTCCCTAGGGTTTTTCAACATGGCATAGATGATTCTGCTTCAGATTCCTTAAAACCATTTTTCAAGCAACCATTGCATTGGCTTTCTTGCATGTCACATTTCTACCCTTCTTTACTCAGGTGAGAACCTCTAAATGCTATCCTAGCTATAATTCTAGAATTCCTTTTAAAGTTTAATAGAAACTTTTATCCACGGAGGTAAATGCACCTTACAAAAAGAACTTATACGTTTTTATAATACACAGGTAAGTAAAGAGTATTGTTTATCTCTTTTTTAGCTTAAGAATCCGAGGCCTCATAATTATGCTACTAACTTAGAGCTTTACTGACATAGTAGGAAAATGTGAATTTTTTGAATTTAGTTCTATTTTAGCTAATTGTCTAGTCATTTAAAAATTCATCCTTCTTGACCCAATGACTGGGGATTTGGCAGTTCTCCAACTAATTATCAAAAAAGAGAGCAAAACTGATTAATTCATGTAACTAGCTCAAAGCCTTAGTAAAAGTAGAGAGAGGAGTAACTTTAAAAATTAAGAATGGGGTAATTTACTTTTATTTTTTAATTAGCAGTATTTAAATATATGAAAAATCATTGAAAGCATGAATTGTACTTCCAGAGTAATCTGATCACATTTTTTGGCATTATGTGGAAAGTCAGTTTCATTCTTTGCTAAATACATCATTAGAAAGTATCTTTCCTTAGTATCTGTGAGTAACTATTTTATGTATAGCCGAAGGAGATATTGTTAATCCCCGTACATTTTTTATTTGTCTCGGAAATACACTATCAGTGATTTCACCATCTAAAGTGACTGACTGAATCTCTCTTGAAGAACAAAAAAAGTCCTGCCCATAAGTAGAGGGTTGTGAGAACCTTATACACAAAATCTCTGTAGACATAGAAAACATATATGATTTACTTGTTATGTGCCTATTCTCACATAGGTAATGGGGACTCCAGATCAATGAGACACAGACCCTACCTTCAAATACCCCAATATATTGTTGTTATTTCACTTATGTATAAAATTTCTTCAACATCTCAGATTAATTCCTTATGATTGATTTCTAGAAATGAAATACCGTCAATACTCTGTCCCCTTGCATGTAAATACACACTTATATCAATGAGAATTAAATAGCCAACTCTTTAATACTTATTATTGGAAAAGTAACAAATTAAACAGCTAGGTCTTTTATAGTGTGGGTTAAGCAACCAACTTGGTCATTTTGATGAGTTCCCAAACTTTTAAACATATTTGTTCTCTACGTTATTTTCGCATTTGCTTTAATCTGTTTGTATTACCTGCTTTTATCTTAATCTATAACCTTCGGAGCTATGCCCTTTAGGTATTGCTCTGTGAGACTTCCATCTCTAGGCTGGCTGTGTTCAGCCTAGCTGGAGGCCTGGGAAGTCAGAATAGGAATGGGTTTTCTGTCTTTCAAATAGCTACTTATAATTAAGTTCTTTCTCTTTTCTATACCTAAAGCAAGCATAAATGTAGTAAGATTTCTTTCTTTCTGCCCTGTGTAGCAACAGATTTCTAGTATTATCCTAACAGAAAGATTAAAACATGGGGTGGTGCCGAGCCGGGCGTGTCTCAGTGGTTGAGCATCAACCTAGGATCCAGGAGATCAGGGTTCGATTCCCGTTCAGGGCACAAGCCCGGGTTGTGCACATGCCCAGTGGGGGGGTTGCAGAAGGCAGCCGATCAATGACTCTCTCATCATTGACATTTCTATCTCTCTCTCTCTCCCTTTCTCTCTCTGAAATCAATAAAGATATTTTTAAAAGAAAAAAAACACAAAACATGGGGTGGTTGGCAGCCCATAGTAGAAATGCAATTTGATACAAGCTTTCTGGAGGGCATTTTAGTGAGCTGTATCAAAAAACTTAAAAACATTTATGCCCCTTTATCCAGCAATTCCATTTCCAGGAATCAATCATAAAGAATTAATCAGAACTGTTGACAAAGTTTTATATGTAAGGATGTTCATCAAAGCATTATTTGTGAAAGAAAAAAAAAAAGGAAATAAATGTCCCACACTATGGAATTAGACAAATTAATAATGAGATAGCCATCCAATTGATTGGCTAATGTGGAGTTATTAAAAGGTTGATTTAAAAAAATATTAAATGACAAATAATTGTGATTTATAGTTAGGGGGAAACTGCAGGTTAGTAATTAATGACACCGAAATTGGCCCAGTTTTCAGAGTGAAGTGTGTATCATCTCTTTCACACCTCACACGAGTCTGTGAGGTAAGCAGTCATGCACTTCTTTTGCGGATAGTGAATTAATAAGAAGAGAACAAAGTTGAGAGGCAGACACTGAACCTGGGATTGTCCCCTTTCAAACTTCAAGCTCCTGACAACTGCACATCCACCTTCCAAAGGGAGAGCAGTTCGGGGGGATGTTAACAGGTGTGAGTGAAAAACCTAAGATTGTTCGTTATCCATTATGTGCAATCTTTTTTTATGGTTCAGCTTTGCAGGGTCTCTGATATACTAATGTATAGTGTTTGTTTCCAAGGGAGGGATCTAGTATGCTGATTCCCCAAACCTGTAGGATGAGAGAGCCCCTATTTCCCAGAGAATGAACAGTTATTGGAAGGTGGATACAATTGAGAAGTATTGAGCCATACCACTATGCATATAGCATTAAAAATGTATGTATAAAATCAAACATTGAAAGGATTTATACTAGAGAGTTTATAGTTTTTATCTTTGAATGGTAGGATTGCAAACAATTTTAACTTTTATTTTTATAGTTCTCTATGTTTTCCAAATTTCTTATAACAAAACAATTTTATTTTATTAAGAGAAAAACTTTTTAAAAGGAAAAAGAAACCCATTTTTTATTGCTCTTTTGTTCACATGGATTACTCTATCATCTCCATACAGACAATTTCTAGGTCTACATTCTAGCTCTGAGCACTTGCCTGTACCCCAGCATTACATGTCCAGGTGCCCACTTTTCTTGAATGGCCCACTGTATCATTAGAAACCCAATATGATGCCCTCCACCGATCCTTTCTTCCACTCTTTCCCTGTCTTCCATGCATGGTGTCTTTTCTCTTAGGAGAGTCTTCAATGCTTCGAGGGCAGAGCCTTGAGTGTATGGTTTCCATGTGGAGCTGCTTCTTTGCCTGTTCCCAGAGTGTCACCCTTTTCAGCTGATTCTTCCTTTTAGAACCATCCTATCTCTCCAACCCGTTATGACAACACCTTAGTCCATTTTACTATTATTTAGCATTTTTAAGATACTCTTTTCATTTGATAAGTCTCCTGCTCAAGAACCTATAGTAGCTTCTGTTTCACCCACACTATTTCTGGCTTATTTCCTGGAGCACACAACAGTTTTCTCTGCTCCAACTGTCAGTCTCCTTGCTTGTCTTTGAGACCCAGTTATTTCATACCTTTAACTTTTATTGGCTAGTTATTATCAGATTCAGGCCTTTTATTTGTGTAGTTTTTCCTTCCAGAATGCCTTGTCTCTCCTTTGCCATTCTAAGTTCTCCATGCAAGGTACAGTATGAGGCCCCCTACACTGAGTACAATACTTTCTGACAATTATTGTCTAACAGGTCTATTTAGAAAGACACGGTCCATGTGATTTATTATTCAACATGTTCAGAGCAGTGGTATAGTCCAAGGAACCCAGGACAGCAATAAAAGTAATTTCAGAATAAAAAAACGTAAATTCTGACTCGCATTTGTCAGACATTGCTTTGGGGGTTCCTAAGCCATCATTATATGACCTTAAAAATCTCCACCTTCCCATCCATCTCTCTTGGATGTTTTAGTGTACCTTTTAGTCCCAAATTATTCTTCAAAACTCCATTTCTCACCTTAGCAACTAAAATGAATTGTTCAGGAAAATGCATGGGTCAGATGAAAACAAACCAAAAATATATTCGGCTTTTTTTTGAAAGGGAGAGGCTTAGCGGAGAGGTAGCTGAATTACTTAATGTTATGGAGAGCCTTAGTAACTTATTCACCTATTTGCTCATTTATTCATACCTGTGCATTGTTTTAGAAAGGATTTCAGTCAGCTTTTAACAGTATTAAATATATTAAGATAATGAACTAAAAGTAAGCAAGAAGGGAGAAACGGAGCAAGGAGGAAGATATGAAATTACGATTTTAAATAAGAGTCACAAGTGCAAACCCAGCTGTGTGGGCCATAAATTTGTCTATAGGATTAGTAGAGAAAACTATGAAGTATAAAATTGGTAAAAATAGAATTTTCATGTTCTCCTAGAACCCCTGGAACAGAGTTTAAAAGACTTTGCTTTAGGGAAAGTAAATGTATTTTCAAAGCAATAAGTAAAATGTACTGTATTCATTATCCCTAGCAATGGTACAGGCTAACAATGTGAGCTGATTTAGAAAGGGTAATCAGTTTCATAATAGAATAAACTAAGGCATGTAGAGACTATACTAACCTCAAGGTTAATCTATGACACCATACTGTGCCTTCATGTAAATGTTTAAGTCAGCATATTATCTCAGTCAATTATACTATGATGCATTATAATGCTTTTTTATTATTTTCCAAACTTTCATCTTCTTGCATATTTTAAAATATTTCCAAATATTTTTCAGGTCTCCCTTAGCTAAGTAGGTCAGAACTGCACACTGAATCCAATGAGCATAATCAGTGTGAGTAAACAGTCTATTCATTTTACACTGCTCATTTTCTTTTATGATGACATGATGTTTTGATTCGTGGCCAGTGCATTCTGAGCTGTAGATATTTATTTCTACTATGCTTTTGTTTCTATTATGCTTTTACTACATGTAATCCTGTTTTAGATTTATATACTTTTTCCCTTCTTTAAGTATATTACGCTACCTTTGACTTCATTGTATAGTAGGCTATGTGGGTCTTCTCTTTTATTCAGCTCACCAAGTTGTATTTACTTACTCTTTCAATGAACATGTGTAAATTTTTTCTCCAGGTAAGGCACTATGGTAGGTAGTAATGTAAAGAGAAAAGAAAAGAAATGTTCTTTCCCTCAAACAGTTACCTATTGGTGAGAAATAGTCTTAGTGCCTCCTTAACGTGCAGTCCCGTTGCCCACGCCCTCTACCTTGAGACACACTCTCCTGAAGT